GTCGCTTTCAGAAATGGGATTCTAATCATGTTGTCTGGGATATGCTGGCTTCTGCTTATTCCCGATGTCAGATGGTTCTCGATGCTCTCTTTGTTTTTGCGAAGATGAAAGATTTCAATATCCGGGCTTCGATAATTTTATATAATAGTTTGTTGTATAAGTTGAGGGACACTGATATCATCCGGGATATCTACGATGACATCAAAGCCAATGGGATAAACCCGAGTGAGTATACTAATTCCATTCTTATAGATGGCCTATGCAAACAGTTCTCGATGCAAGAAGCTGTTGAGTTTCTTCGAGGGACTGAATGTAGAGAATTTGGGCCTTGTGTTGTGTCTTTCAATACTCTTATGTCAAGTTCCTGTAAAATGGGTTACATAGATGTTGCAAAGTCATTCTTTTGTATGATGTTTAAGTATGGATTACATCTCAATGTATATAGTTACAATATTCTCATTCATGGGTTAAGCGTGGCGGGTGCAATGGAAGAAGCCTTGGAGTTCAAAGGTGATATGGAGAAACACGGTTTAGAGCCTAATGTGGTGACTTATAACGTCCTTGCCAAAGGATTTTGTTTGCTTGGTATGACAAGTGGTGTCCGGACATTAATTAATGAAATGCTTCATAAAGGCTTAAATCCTGATATTGTCACTTTTAAAATGTTGATCTGTGGATATTGCAAGGCAGTTAATGTTAATGAGGGTATTAAGTTGAGAAAGGAGAACAGCGGTCATAAACCAGATATTGTCATGTACTCGATTCTCGTACAAGGCCTTTGTAAGAAAGGATTGGTAGAGTTGGCTTTTCAATTGTACAAAGATATGTGCTATAAGAGAATTCTTCCAAATATTGTTGCTCATAGATCTATTCTCAAAAGCTTATGTGAGAAAGGGTACATGTGTGAGGCGAGAGCTTTTTTTGATGCTCTACTAAACTGTGACTTAATGGATGATGTGTTTTTGGGTAATATTATGATTGACGGATATGCAAAACGTGGTGACATTGGTGAAGCTCTTCAGGTATACGAACTAATAAAAGAGAAAGGAATAATGCCAAGCATAGTCACATTCAACTCCTTATTATATGGGTTCTGCAAAGCCAGAAAGCTAGATGATGCAAGAAAGTTGTTTGACACTATTGTTGCACATGGGTTGATACCAACAGAGGTCACGTACACAACTCTTATGGATGCGTATAGTGAGGAAGCAAATATTCAAACCATCTTAGAGTTGCAAGCGGAAATGAAAGCAAGGGGCATGGAACCAACTCATGTTACTCGCACAGTGATAATGAAATGCCACGGCAAAACAAGTCAGATGCATGAGTCTGTTCGGATACTAAAGAATATGTTAACGACGGGTCCTTGGCCTGATGAAGTTTCGTACAACACCATTATCCAAAGTTTCTGCAAAGCTCGAGATATGAAAGGTGCTATCCGATTACATGATGAGATGATAGACAACAATCTTCTGCCAAGTCGTGTCACATACAACATTCTCCTTAATGGTTTATGTGTACAAGGAGACCTAAAGTATGCTGAGAAACTATTTTCTTCTCTCGAAGATCGTGATGTTGGCCTGATGAAATATGATTACACCATTCTTATAAAAGCACATTGTGCAAAAGGTGATGTGAATAAGGCTGTGGGTCTGTTCAAAAAGATGATCGAGAAGGGCTTTGAAATCTCTATTAGAGATTATAGTGCTGTAATTAATAGGTTGTGCAAAAGAAACTTACTATATGGTCCTTATAAAAAAAGAAACTTACTGGATGATGTGAAGAATTTTCTGCATATGATGTTGTCGCATGGCATATCTCTTGATTTACAAATGTATTCTGTTATGCTTAACAGTTTCCGTCGTATTGGCGATCACAATTCTGTGTTCCAGCTGTTCTCTTTGAAAATTAAGTGTGGGTTAGATACTGGTTCTAATTGTGGTTAAGAGTACGCGACACCAATTCATGATGATTACTATGCTCTGCTGCAACATATGAGCTTCTTGTTTCATGAGGTGTTACTAGAAAAGTTCAACAAGCTATTCCTTGATTTTATAAGGAATGTTAAGTTATTCAAATATTCAATCCCATACCTGGCTTAAAGAGAAATTGTGGTAGAAAAGGTTTGTAAGTTGCACTAACTATGCAGTTATGTGAACTTATAGATCAGGTCATATGAAAAGTTAATGACTAGTAATGCACCTGAGAACAGTATGGATTCTTTATTCTCTGCTGATTTCGTGTTAGGAAGTGAAGATTTTTGCTAGAAAAGGGGTCGAGTCATGTTTATGCATGTAGCATCACTTACAAAACAGAAAGCTGGTATGCAAGTTCTAATTAACTTGCAAACTAAGGTACTTAGAAGGACTTTTTTTATGCGCAACCTACTGGTTAGGACCTTTGGGGAAATTGTCACTCCTTAACTAGTATATCTGCAGATGTGGTAGGGATATTATGTCCTCTGATCAGCATCATCTTTGTATGGAGAAAAGACAGAGGTTTAGGCATCTGTAAGAAAAGTTAAAACAGGTAAAGTTTCTTCTCTGTTTCTCTTCTTCTATCCTTTTTTGGTTCTGATATTGAATCCTTTTTAGCGGACTTGTCGAAAAAATGGTGTTCCCTGTTTATTGGAATCTAAATCTATCTTCTTTTGTTACCTTTAACCTTACAGTATTATGAATTCTTCGCTTAATTCTAGGCTGACTTACTAGTACTGCTTATCTTTGTTTAACGTCCCTTTTCAAGTTTTAAGTGCTCTCCATTTTCTTTAACTCACCATAAATGCATTTTTCTTCTTTTGACAGTAAACGTTCCATTTGCCAGCCCAGCACATAAGTGCTCCTTAGTAGATTTCCTGTTTATTTTTCTATATTTATTTGCCTGAAATTTCTTATCATATTTCTCAAGTGTCCTCTGAGTTACCTGTTAACCCACTTTGTTCTTATAGTTATTGCATAGTCACTCATTTCTTTTACATTAATTATATCATTGTTGGGCATTATTTGCCTGGTGAAATGATGCTGTAAAGCGAAGTTCAATTAAAGCATAACAAATCCTATTAATCAGTTAAAACTATTACAACTCATTCTGCATATGAGGCCTTACTGAAGGCGAGGCTCAGCTATGAAAATCCTTATGATTTTGGGTTTTAACTGAAAATTGTATTTTCTTTTGAGTGTGTTAGATTCAAAATTGTTTCATTTGATTTTTAAACTCGGTAATAATGGTTTCCTTTTATGCAAATTGCTTTGCTTAATAAATTTGTTGTCTTATACCTACTCGGACTGGTTGCTCTGTCATAATCACAGCGGACTCAAAGAATCAAACTTGTTAAATTTCACTGTCTTCACGGTGTAAGGATTGCATCTTATATTTCATGGGAGTTTACCATTCAATCTTATAGAATTCTAAAGAAACTTTAGCATTAGAGTTCTTGAAGTATTAGATTCATTGTGATAAAGCTTCTAAGTTATTGTTTGTTAAGTAGGAGAAAAGAGAAACTTAAGTACTTTTGGAATTTTGCATCCGTTACTAAAATGGAGAATTCAGAGATATTGCAATAGCAATTTGTCAAGTATTATCATTTGGTTTGGAAGAGACATGCATTTATCGTTATTATCTTAACTTCTAATTTTTCCTATCTAAAGGGTAATGATTTGTTGAACACCTACGCTGTTATAGATATGTCTAACTTCTCCCTCCCCTGGCCCAATGATAAATGAAATAAGGAATACAGATCACTGCTCCAGGATTTCTTTATTCACCATTATTTTGGTTTTATAAAAGATTTTTTTTTGTAATCTCCTTTTCACTTCTGTCTCGGGCAAAAGGAAGTGAAATTGTAAGTCTATTTTATTCTCTCTTCAATGATGACTTGCAGATATAATAGATTTTGGGGCCAGCAGTCATTGGGAATCTAGTCTTCAGCAGCCAATAGAGGCATACCAGTTGTATGACTGCAGCAGCTGTTATGGATCTAGTTCTTGGAGCTGCTCAGACTAGCAGCTCATTCGATCTGTCCAAGTTGTCAAGGAGCCAACTAATGGCATCATCTGAGTTGAAGGTCAGCACTAGCTAAAATTGCTCTCATGTTTACGATTTATATTGTGTCTCATGTATTTCTTGCTCGATCTTAAGGCTGTCCCATATTATCTTCTTTTTAGCAAACTTGCATTTTTCTTGGTGATATAAGGCTATAAGCTATACAAAGAACAGATATATAAACAAGCCCCCCTCGCGGCAGCCTGGTATAATAATGCGCTAGCCAAAGGGTCATACGCTGGTAGCATATTTCCAATATGCTTAACAGTTGCTTTGTTGCTGAAAAACTTTCTGAGTACTATATCTCATTAGTCGAGTCTGTCCCATAGCCCATAGATTGGCTAAACTTGTACAGGTTGGTCTTTTCAAATGCCCACAAGACTTCTTACCATCTACCTGGAGCATTGACCTCAAAAGATCTTTGCCAGCTCCTCTCTCTGATTTTTTATAGCCCTTATCGTAAAAATATCTGATTTTAAAACGGTGGTCTCTTGTTTTTTGCAGAAAAAGAACAAGGATTTAGCGAAGGCTCCTGCAGGTTGCTGCTTAACACAATCTTTATGAAATAAATTCTTGTGGATCATTGTTTTATCATTTTATTTTAATCATATAGGCGTATGTCCATACATATAAATCATGTTATTTCTTTAAAAAGATGGCTTCTCCCAAGAGCTATCTATCGCATCACACAAAATCAGAATTACAAGCCAAAAGATGTGGGGAAGCTACTCCAAAAGTGATTATCCTTTTTCTTATTGCAACAGGTAAGTTGTAATTTCCACTTCTTTTACTTCGTCCTTTTCTCTTTTTCTTCTATATAGACATAGAAAAACATCAGAGAAAGAATCTGCCTATGTGCTTATACTCGGTGCTTCATGTGGCTAAGAAGCAACCTTGGTTTAAAAGTTCTTATTAATTTATTCATAGAAACATGAACATAGAGGGGCATAAATAAGATCATTACTAGGGAGTTGAAAAACTCTGTAATTGATAAAACTGTCGGGGATAAGAGAAATCGCTTAAATTGATAATAATTGTCTCTTTCTCACAGCTCACAGTCTCACCCTTCTGAAGACTGTAAATCTCTCCCTCACCCCTTTTTGTAACGGCCTCTGTTCCGTTTGCTCTCACGCTTATTTCTCTGTTTGTTTCTTCTGAATTTGAGTGAATCCATGCTAAGATTGTTGACTAGTCCAAGAAATCAGATCTTTATGGTAAGATTTTTGACATTATTTACAGCTTGCACCTACATTACAAGGACTGTCCTACTTTGACGGCTCATGGATAATATATTAAAAGCCCCTTGGTTGAATATAATTGTGTAATTGTAGGGAATTATATGTACAGATTTGAGGTGTCTCGTTACTCTGACAGACTACGAGCTATGCTAATCATCAGTGGCGGATCCAGGATTTTATGCAACCGGGTTCAGTCGAAAACAACTATAACTAATATAAACAGTAACATAAAGCAATTTTTTTGTCCTTTTTGTTCATAGGGTAATCTTAATATAAAATCATCTTAAAGTCACACTTTATAGTTCTAACAAATTTTTGCTTATTTTAATTTAACAAATTTAAAATTTTGTTATACTTTAACCAAAAAATAATATTTGACCAATCAAAAAACTATTAACTCTAAGAAATTTGAGATTATAAAATATTTTCTAGTTTTATAAGTAACAAATTATTAGTTATAAAAGAAGGCAATAAGAAAAGAGTTACAAACTAAACTAAATCAATACCAAAATTATAAATAAATAAGAGAGCTTATACAGTAGTGTAATTAATATTTAATTAAAAAACAATGAAAAAGTTTCAACATAAATTAAATTAAATTAACAAATAATATATAATTTCAACAAATATACTTGCAAGGCTTAGCAAATTTTATGAAGGAGAGCTAAAATTACCTTTTGAAGTAAAGTAAACTCCAGTATAAGTTTTATTTGAGTTTAAATAAAGAAAACAAACTTTAAAGTAAAATAGAGAAAACGAGAAAATATAAGCCATTGGAGTAACAAATCAACAAGCCAAGGTATGGTTAATTTAATTTGATGCAAAACAGTTTTACTAGGCCTAGCATTTGCACATTCTTGTTGCTATCTATACTAAAAAGAAGTATAAAAATGCACTGACGGGGAATTGAACACATGACCTCACCAAAACCATGAACCTGCCTGATCACTTTTTCAGGAGGAAAGTCATGTGAGTTCAAATATAATATTTTATATAAAGTTACCCTGCTTTAGCTGTAATTTACATTTATACACAGTAGTATTTTTCGACGAAGCGGGTTTAGTTGAACTCCCTTAGAAATATGTGGGTCCGCCCCTGCTAATCATCTGTGAATTGGAGCATGAAATAGAAGCGCGCGATAATGTTTGTGTATGATCTTGATATGCGCCACTTTTCAGTATGTAGATATCTCCAACATTGTTATCCCAGAAGTGCTTCATGATATGTACAGTATTGATTATCTAGTTTATCTAGGCAAGAGGAATTCATGTCCAAGGTTTTCATTGGTTACCTAGTGCACTCGTCAGTCTTGTTCTGAAGCTCATCATGTGTGTACATGCACTTTTGCCCTCAGACGAAGTTCCAACTGCAGTTGGCGAGAGCTCAACAGAGTCATTCAATGCCAGCGGCATTGGCTGTAAAGTTTTTTCTTTATGGAGTTTACCATAAAGAAAATTCAGAAATCAGCAGATTTGTACATTTCTTTCCTGAACAACACACTTTTGACCTCTAGATCATTCTGGTAACGAGGGGAGGGTATTTGTTCTCTGTAGAACTAGTTCATTGTTAGAATTCTTCCTCAGTTATCACTGGCCCTGGTGCTTACGTAATGCTTCTAAATGTATGGAATATTACCTGCATTTTGTCTTGGTTGTTCAGGTCATTGTCATTGTTTCTTTCCTCAGTACATGCGTATTTGTTATTTCTTGGCCACAGGTGAAGTCAAAGATAATTGAACTGTCCAATTGGAAGCAACAGTAATCTAGATTCTGATTGGGTAAGCCTTTTCTTACTTGCATGTACTCTAGAACAGTGATTCATGTTAATGAACTGAATTCTTTAGGAGTCTAATCTTTTTCGTCCATTCTTATATTCTAAAAGAACGTTATTCCTAATTAAAATCTTAACTTCTAGCTTATTCAATTTTTTTTATGCTCCAACCATAAGCTTCTTTCTGCTGTCTGCATTCCGCTTTCTCCTCGAAAAGTAAAAAGATGCATATTCTTTTAATATTGTAGGGCAAGAAACGGAGTTCCTGTTTCATGTTTCTAGTATATTAACTCCCAATGGAAACTCTTAATATGGTAATATCATTATAATATGTAGTGGTGCTGCTGACAATTGGAATGTGTATTTGAAGTATGTACTGTGCTCGTCCGTTTGTAGATTGATGCAGATATGCCTACTACTTGCAGATTTTTTAATCACGCAGCTGATATTGATTGTTGCTGAGTTAATGACTTAATTCCATTTATAACCTCAATAAAATTGAATGAGATTGTCTGTGGGACCAAAAGTGGTTTGGCATATAAAGTTTGCCTTTCAGTTGTGGTTATAAATAAAGATGTACTAAATCTTTATATGGTTTCAGAAGCAGTTGTATCCTAGTCCTTAATATATGGTCTTTCAATTGGTGTTAGGAGAAAACAAGATATTTAGTGTTGTTGATCAGATTTCAGTTGCTTGAGACTATTAATAGCTTGTTTGGATGGTTGTTAAATAACGTTTCATAATATTATTGTATTGTATTGTTTTGGTGAATACAATGTTTGGATAGATTGTATTATTTTCCGTTGTTTCATGATATCACACACCAATAATATGAAAAATAAACTTACAACATTACAAAGAAAAAATAAAGTACGAGGTAGAATTATTATATAAAATACGGTAAAGGATAAAATATAATTATTTAATAATAAGGAAGGGCAAGATGAGAGGGAAAATTAAGGTAACGACGCGATCACACTAAACCGGTTGTTACATAAAATGACACTTTTTTATTATTTCATAACAACGGATTAAACGATACGATACAATAAAATTTAAGTAACAATTAAAACATTGTATTTAAAGTAACAATACGATGCAATACATCAACCATCCAAACAAGTTGTAAAGCATCTAATGTTTATTGTACTGTTTGTTTATGCCGAGTTAATTACTTCTGGAAAATTCTGAGTTGCCCCAGAAAAATTAGTTCATGTGAGCCTATGCACAATTAGAAGCATTTTGAACTACCATTTCATTTATTTCGTCCATTTCTCCTTTTTCTACTATAGATAAACGGTATAATATCATAGGAGAAGAGTGCCTATGTTCTCATCCTTAGTGCTTCATGTGGGTAAGAAGCAATCTTGGTTTTTTTTTTTTGGATCTTTTCATTTGTGGCGTTTGTTCCAATCTCTTTAAAATTATTTTTGTTGTGGCGATTTTTTTGTGAAGGCTTTATATAATCTCCACGAATATATCAAATTTCAGTTGTTTGAGAAATTATTATGATTCAATACAAATAGTGATTTACTAACTCATGCGTTTTTAATTTTAGTCATTTTTCCACCTTGTTTTTTCCTTCTAAATTGAACCAAATTAAAGTTAAAACTCTAAGAATTTATGCAATTTACGTCAATTTCTAACGTTTATAGTTTGTTGTCCTTTTCTTCTCTCACATTTTTCAACTGCAAAAAAAAAAAAAAAAAAAAAAAAAAAAAAAAAAAAAAAAACAAAGCTATAGGTCTTCCATTATCTCTTTATGTCTTGCTTGTTACTTTTTCTTTTATCGTATTTGCGCATTTCCTTAATAATTCGTATTTCTATCTTTAGCAAAACCTAACAAAGACTTATATTTATTTCTTCATCATAATTAAGGATATTGATGTTACGCCCCAAACTCAGAGGCTTGTGTGACTAGCATATAGCGCCCCCAACTAATACTGGGCGAGCCACTAGTCATAACCTCATCTAAGCCTCTCGAACTCCACCGACTCACCGAGCGCGACGTCCCAAATATTCTTGTTCATATATTAAAAATAAAATTTTCCTTGTTCATTTTAGCAAATCAAGAATAAATTATTTATTTTTATTTTTATTATTGATGAGTGATGACAGTCTGTAACGACCCGGTCTATCGTTTCGAGTATTACGGCCCCGTTCCTCAATTTATTGCTCAATTTATGCCTTACAATTTATTTATGACTTATCGGGTTAGTTAGTTCGAGTACGGAAGGAATTCGGAATGAAATGAGACACTTAGTCTCATTATTGAAAATTTAAGTTAGTTGACCGAATGTGGACCTATATGTAAAAGACCTCGGATTTGAATTCCGATAATTCCAACAGATCTGTATGGTGATTTTGGACTTAGGAGCGTGTCAGAAAAATTATTTGGAGGTCCGTAGTGAAATTAGGCTTGAAATGTCGAAAGTTGAATTTTTGGGAAGTTTGACTGGGTTGACTTTTTGATATCGGGGTCGGAATCCGATTCTGAAAATTTGAATGGCTTTGTTATGTAATTTATGACTTGTGTGTAAAATTTGAAGTCATTCCGGATTGATTTGATGTGTTTCGGCACAAGATATAGAATTTGAAAGTTCAAAGTTCATAAATCTTGATTTGAGGTGCGATTCGACGTTTTGATATTATTTGATGTGATTTGAGGCCTCGAGTAGGTCCGTGTTATGTTATGGAACGTGTTGGTATATTTGGTTGAGGTTCTGAGGGGCTTGGGGTGTATTTTTGGATCATTCGTTGAGAGATTAATAAAGTTAAGAAATTTGGGAGTTTGGCCATGGTCAATATCGGGTCAAGACGACCTCTTTTCAGTGTTTTGAGTGCGCGACCAGGTCCGTAGCATGTTTTATGATTGAAATTCGTATATGGTTTGTGTCCGGAAGGTTCCAAATGAGTTTCGAGGTGAGTTTTGAGTGAGTTCGGGCATTTCGACACTCTAATATTGTTCCGACACTTTTGGGGGTACATACCGCACATTTTTGGGTGCTGAGGCGAAGGAGGGGCGCGGACCGTACATAATAGTACGGACCGCAGCAGAATTTCGCTGGCGCACTTGGAATTTCGCGGACTGCACAATTCTGTGAGCGGCCACGCTCCAGGGAGTTCTGCAGATTCGCTGGTCCGATTTCTGAAGCCTATATCTTTTGATCTATTGTACAGAACGTTTTGGCCAAAATACTAAAGCCTGGTAGTGCAGCCACCAGTTTTTCGCGACCGCAGGACCTATGAGGCGCAACTGCGCTCAAATTTTCGCGGACCGCGAAGTGGGAGATCAGAGGTGCACTATATAAACAGGGTTTAAGGTATTATTTCACATTTTGGATCTAGGGAGCTCGGTTTGTGGCGATTTTTCGTGGGTTTTTCAAAAAATTCATCGGGGTAAGTGATTCTAACTTGAATTTGGTAATATACATGAATATATCAATGATTTCATCATGTGATTATTACTTTGAGGTGGAAATTTGGAAAAATTGTATAAATTTCATGAAAATAAATTTTTGAGATTTGAACAATGATTCGGAGTTGGATTTGAGTGAAATTAGTATGGTTGAATTCGTAATTGAATTGGTTGTCGGACTTTGTGAGTTTCGTCAGATTTCAAGATGTGGGCCCCAACAGGTAATTTTTGGGGCGTAATTTCAGATTTTGTGGAAAATATTAGTATTTTGATATGAAATTAATTCCTATAAATTTTGTGGGCTGAATCAAATTAAGTGTGACTAGATTCGAGCCCTTCGGAATTTAATACACGCATAATGGGATTTCTGGAGCACTGTTTAGCTTGCTCGGCATTGGATTTGGCTTGTTCGAGGTAAGTAACTCTTCTAGTCTTAGAGCTAAGGGTATGAACTCTGAATATATGTATTTCGTGAATTGTTGGGAGGTGACGCACATGCTAGGTGACAGGCGTGCACTATAGAAATTGCGACATAATTATTTATGTGGAATTTTGTAGTTGAATAATCTTGGCATTTTCCATGCGGTTTATGATTTAAAGAAATTGAGCTGAACAACGTATTAAAAATCATGTTAAGGCTATGTGCCAGTATTATTTGGACCCACAGAGGTCATATTCTTGTGATTTATTTGTTTATATTGAAAATTCATACGCAGTCATATTCATTTCATTGCATATCATATCTCATTCTCTATTGTTATTTATTGATGCATGATATCATCATTTTTGGGCTATTCTCATAACATTGTGAGCCCATGAGAAAGAGACTGGAGAGATTGATGACTGAGGGAGGCTGAGGGCCTGATTGTGAGGATATTTTTGGGATCGGGTTGCACGCCACAGCATGCCATGTTGGCTTTATATATATTATTACTATTATATGGATCGGGGCTGCCCACCTGCAGCAGGCTTTATTAGCTTATTATGGCACGTAAGTTATCCGTGCAGATTCTGATATGATATTATAGCCCACGATTTGTCCGTGCAGCACGTGAGTTGTCTGTGCAGATTATAGCGCTTGGACTGAAGGAGCCCCTCCGGAGTCTGTACACACCCCAGTGAGAGCAGGTACCTACTGAGTACGAGTGTCGAGTGCCGAGTGATAAGTGACTGGGAGGCATGAGTGATTGTGAGGTATGCCCGAGGGGCTGTTTACGAGTGATTGTGAGGTCTGCCCGAGGGGCTGTTTACGAGTGATTGTGAGGTCTGCCCGAGGGGCTGTTTACGAGTGATTGTGAGGTCTGCCCGAGGGGCTGTTTACGAGTGATTGTGAGGTCTGCCCGAGGGGCTGTTTACGAGTGATTGTGAGGTCTGCCCGAGGGGCTGTTTACGAGTGATTGTGAGGTCTGCCCGAGGGGCTGTTTACGAGTGATTGTGAGGTCTGCCCGAGGGGCTGTTTACGAGTGATTGTGAGGTCTGCCCGAGGGGCTGTTTACGAGTGATTGTGAGGTCTGCCCGAGGGGCTGTTTACGAGTGATTGTGAGGTCTGCCCGAGGGGCTGTTTACGAGTGATTGTGAGGTCTGCCCGAGGGGCTGTTTACGAGTGATTGTGAGGTAAGCCCGAGAGGCTGTATACGAGTGATTGTGAGGTCTGCCCGAGGGGCTGTTTATGATTTTATCACTGAGTTGTATAGCATTGGCATGTACACATGACATACAAGCATAGAGATGTATTTTTCTCATGCTATACAACATCACATCATTCATGATTTCTCACACATTTTGACAAATGGGCATAGTGATGCAATTTTTTTACACGGGTTATCCGGAAGGAAATGAAATATCTTATTTATTATTGAAAAGATTTTGGGTCGTGACACAGTCCATGTTTTATCTGAGTGAAAATATTTTTTCTCCTCCACTCACTACTAAAAAACTGGCTAATTTCGTCCAGGAAAACCGACCGAAATCGGTCGGAAATTGAGAAAAAGCGATCGATTTCCGACCGCTTTTAATTAGTCGGAAACATGATGGTCGCTAAGGTGTTTCGACCGAAATCGATCAAAAATTTCAATGCGTTGACTGACAGTCAAACTACATTTACCGACCGAAATCAGTCATTATTAATTGTTTTTTTTTTAATTTTCAAAATACCGACCGAAATCGGTCGGAATTAATTAATTTTTTTAATTTATTTTTCAGATACCGACCGAAATCGGTCAGAATTATAAATATATAATAATTATAGAAATCTTCCATATATATATGTTTTTGTATCACATGTATACTCCTCAGCTCGAGATATCATAGCACCACAATATTATATCTTATTACTATATTATTAATTAGTACTAGTATATATTATCATTATTATTTTATTGAATTCTAATTCTAAATATAGAATATTAAATCTTATTACTTAGAACTAACTACAACCCTTCCTATATTTGCTTATTTTTTATTAGTCCACAATTGTTGGACTCTATGCATCAAAGCTCAACTTATAAGATGGAAAAGCTCACATCTTTCAGCCGATGTGGGACAAGAGTATTTCCCAATTTCCGACCGAAATTGGTCGAAATTTTTGAAAATTTCTAATGAAAAATTATTTTTCCATTTCAGCCGATGTGGGACAAGAACATAATTTCACATTCCGACAGAAATCGGTCGGAATTTTTGAAAACTTTTAATAAAAAATTATTTTCCCATGGAAAAACCCACTACTTCTCTTCCCATGGAATATTTATTTACTAATCTATCCATTTTATTATTTGTTGTTTCTTTTTTTTTTATAAAAAAAAGAGTGCATTAAATAAGGATTCCATAAATCAATAAAAAATTATTTCAAGTGAATAAAATTATGATTACATTTTAATGTAAAAATATGCTTAGTTATTGTTTCTAAAATTTCATTTATAATCCTTAAATAACACATTAATTATTTTATATAAAAAAATATATTAACTAACCAGAATTAAATATATCGTACATTGGTTAAGTAATTGGTATATAAGCTATAAACTATATTCAATATATATCACATGGCAGCAACTTTACCAGTTACACCAAGGCTCCCCTTCAAAACCATTATCTTTTAATTGTACTATTTTTCTTAGCACTTTAAATTCATAAAATAAATCTAAACCATCAATATCAGATTGATTATTATGCTCTAAGGAACACTCAAGATTAAAGCAGTATTTTTTCCAAATTTTCATTATCTGGTGATCTCAGGTTTTTGCGCTAAATAGAAAACAAAAAATATATTCACATGCTTCGAATTGTTCAAATCTATTTTGAAGTGAAAAAATAGTTTTGTTTACTATGTATAAATAGTAATTAACTCTGAAGGACTCTTCAAGAGATTTCAATATCAATATTCACGTCAAATTAGTTTTTTCTATATATCACACGTTACTTACAAAGTTCGGGTTTGGTTTTCATTTCAGATGCAATTTTCTTGGTAGAAATCATACCAGTTGTAAATCCTTTTACTGCTTAAGCTTTTAAGACATAAGTTTTAAATTTTTTTTTTCTTAAACTCCGTGATGAGTCAAACAATCTAATCTAAATTGAAATGTGGGGCCTAAAGCAGTTGATTTACCTGCTTTAGGGTAGAGCCGCCCCTGGGGGTAAGGTCTGCGTACACACTACCCTCCCCAGAACCCAGTACTAGGATTTCAGTAGGTCGTTGTTGTTGTTGTTGTTGTTGTTGTTGTTGTTGTTGTTATATATTCGATATATATATATATATATCTTAAGATGTACATATAGTATATTCGATAGGCTATATTCGATATATATCTTAAGATGT